TCTTATACACCGGTGCTTCTTATATTCCGAAAAATATGGTAAAACATTTGAGGCATGTTGTTCTGTATTTTGTTTTTTGTGTGTACGTATGTAATATAGCTTTTATTTTGGGATTTTCCAAATAATAATCTTAGAAAGCTGTAAATGATTTTCATGTACAGGTTCCTATAATTATATAGTTTGACTTTGAAGTGTTATAAAATAATTTTCTGTTTTTCTTTCTTATTAAAAAATCATGTGCATTGTATAGACATAGATGTATGCGTAGTTATAAAGTGTAGTTCTAATTGTGCTGTATTAAAATACATTTAGGACATTAATGTAAACAATTATAAAATGTCAAAGGTATTTTAATTCCAATACATTCTTCTTTTTTTTTAGTTTCTGATATTAAACTTGAAATTAAAGTCAAGCTTATTTATATATTATAGTTCAGTTATGTTTCTAATGATAAATAAGCAGAATAATAGTTAATTTGTGTGATATTTCATAGTATGAATATTAAATTGGAAAATATTGCAAAAACACTAACATGCTGAATTATCATAGAAGGCAGAAATGATACAACATGTTCAAGCATTCTCATAAATAAGATTGTTAATTTCATGTGCTTATGAATACAGTGAATTTAATAAGTTATTTGTGCTATAGAAAACAGGAAAAAATCAGTGAACTTGTATAAGTATATTATAACTTGTGTAATAAGTGAATGTATAAAAGAACAGGTTTCTTGCCTTGATCACAAAAAGTTTTTTTCACTTATTCTGATATTTTGACTTTTGAAGTGATTTTTTGTTTACTGTTAATATTAAATACCAAATTTTCTGATCAAAGTAAGACCTACATGCATAGGCAGTGCATGAGTCATTTGTTTGGGTAGGTTTTTCTGTCACATATACTGTATAATATTTTATTAGGTGGTGAGAATAATGCTCTGTATGGGACATTTTATATGGGAAGGATATTTGTCCATGACATGTTGAGCAGTCAGAGATAAAGTATCTCTTAATACATTTGGCAAGGCTAAGTCTTCCCATTCCTCTCATATGAGCTGCCCCTGCTTACATATTACTGTTTAGCTGTAGAGTCTGATAGCAGGACTTTACAAATAGTACAGAAAAAAATAAAATTGTGAAATAAATAGTAAAAAATATTAATACCCTAATTTAAATAATCAAGTTAAATCTAATAAACAAGAAAAATAATGTACTAAACATACCATGAATTATGTTTAACACAACAAACCTTACTTTATCCTTTAAACACATGCACAAATAATGATACTAACCACTGAATATTCCTAAAGGAACAATTCTTCATCAACATGAAAGTTTTTTTTCTAACTTGTGCATTTTTATACTTTGTAATGTTTATTATCTTTTAATTTTTGGAACTATATTTTGACCTAAAATAAATCTGATTTTTTAATAACATGAGCTTCCACTGATTGTGTAATGTGCAACTACAACAGCCTTTCCCGATCTTTTCAGCACAGAGACATTCCCCTATACATACAATAAATAAGGTATGGGTCCCATATGTCTAAACTGTCTAAATCAGCATAATTTAGGAGGCTATTATCAATGATGTGCAAAACAACAGAACATTGAAGAAGTGCAAAATATAACATTAAATTGAGAAATCAGAAGGAGAAGTTTAAGAAAATTAGTTTAAAACAAGTGAGTATATTTACTAAAACTACGTATGTTGAGTTATGAAAACAACTCAAATTGTATATATTTAACTTTAATGTTAAATTTTAAAGTGGTAATTAACACTTTGTCCTACAGTAGTAGACTTTTCAATGAAGATGAAAAGGTGCTGTTGAGATCTTCCACTAACATCACACACGTTTCTGCTGTGGGATATCAGGGGTGACTCTAGGTTAGAAGCACTGAACTAGAACATTCTTAAGTCAGTTGATCCAGAATATATTTTTTGTTTTTGGAACACACATGTATCCACAAACACTATGAAATTGCATTTGGCAAATTGACAGTTTATACTAGCCATGATATAAGACTCAGAAAAAGCTTAGTTTCTTATCAGTTTTATTAATACAGCATATTATGTCTAATGTATATAAACCATAAATGTATCAAATTCCAAGCAGATTTTATGTACTAATAAAAATGTAACAAATATTTAGGCATATTGAATAAAATATTTAATGGAAAGAGAAATTGTTTTGGAAGCCACAAAAAATTATTCACTTTACTAAAACTCAGTGTTTTAAGACATTTTTCATTGTTAAGCTTTAGACTATATTGTTTGGATGAAGGGAGATTTTAGATTCAACTAAAGATGTCAGTAATGGCCTTGCAAAGTTGGAGATCAAGGAATATATTTTAAAATATGGAGCAAAATTAATATTAGAAGTGTTTGTTCTAATAAGATTATATAAGAATCTTCAAAAATATATGTTACTGCATACGTAGCCAAAGAACTTATGCAACTATACATTTGACATGCTCAGTGCTAGCCTTGCTGTTATTCTCAGGAGAATTGCTTGTCCCAGACAAAAAAAAGGTTAAGTTACCACATTTATTATTCGGAGAATGATAATTTTTTTAAGGTTTAGTTATATACATTTCTTTATTTTATACACATTAGATTTTTTATCATCTCTTTGTATTATATGTTTTATCTTGTAGGTTTCAGTTGAAGGCAATATTGGAAGTGGTAAAACAGCCTTGTTGGAATATTTTTCATCAAACTTTCCTGAAACAATGGTACAAATATTTGTCATATATGATATTCCAAATTTGACTGGTTTAATTACCTTTTGTAATTTTAAAATAACAAATTTCCAAAATGTATTAATTTTTCTTGTAAAGTGGTTAAAGTTTTTGGCATTTGTATGTAGTGGATACTTTTGTACACTGCACATACAAAGACACTTGAAAAATTTTCATTTATCATACTAAAATCGCTATCATGGACCTATAAAGACATGATTGTAAGTTTACTTTGTTTTGGTAGCACAAGAACAACTTGTTATTGATAAACAGGCCCAAATACTGTATTGTGAGCACCAATAGAAATGAAAATCATTGATAAAAAATCAAAATAATGATATTTTAATCAGCAAAAATGTATATTATTATAGATCTGAAGTTATTTCTTCATGTTTAATAATGTATTACTAGTCCTAATAATTTTAAAAAAAATGTGTACATTGTATTGTTTGAATGTAGAAACTATTATCAAAAATCAGTAATTGATATCTTTTGAAGTTTCAATCTGATTGCTTTTCATTTTTATACAAGTTAATGGTTTTATAATGGCTATTTTCTGAAATACGTGTTGACAGTCATAATTATTCTAACACTTGTAATGTTTTATTATTATAAATCAATTTCTTTTATATATTAGTTTCCTGTCAAATTCAGTCTATGCACCCTTGCTTCAAAATGTGTATAAAAACATAAATTTATTTAAGTTGTTTTATAAATTAAACTTCTTCAGCAGTTTACATGATCAGATTATGTAATTTTCTGAAATAAAATTTAAAAAACTATTTCCAAGGTATACACACTTGTAGTTTTATCACTTATAATATTTCCATACTCTGATACTAAATTCTATGCAATGTGTTTAATGTGTAGGCCTGGTTTGATTACTGTAGGCTAAAGTTTTACTGTGATGTGCCACTGTTTTTTACACAACTTGTTCTTGATGTTGAAATCATCATAATAAGACTTGAACTTCAATCAGATTGAATATAAAGTACTTCTATGGAGTATTATTTAGAACATAATTTTATCTATCACTTTACATTACCCTGCTTTTGATTGGGTAGCTGTTGACAAAATTGTTTAAATACGATGATTTTAAATGTAAGAAGAAAATGTTTTTGAACTTTTGAAAAAACATTGAATGGAAATCCTGCTCGATCTATGTGTCTGGATAATTTTAATTATAAAAAGATGTTATTGTTGTGCAAAAAAAAAGGTCCCCCCAGTTCCAGAAAATGTAAAATTTGGTTAATTTTAGTTTGAAGTGTAACATATTGGACTATGCCATATTCATTGTATTGGGTCATCAAGTAATTAATGTTGCTTTTTTTTAGATGAAAATCCCAAACAATTTATATATATATATATATCAAAACAAAAAATTATGAAATGAAATAGTCTCCAATCATATCGATGATGCTTTTCGATCTTACAATCAGGTTGTTAATACCCTGATTAAATAAATCACTTGGCTTTGAAACAAAAAAACATGTCGAAGTCCTCTTTAATACCTTCCACATTTGCATACATTTTCCCAATAAGATAGTGTTGCAACGAACGAAAAAGATGGTAATCTGATGGTGTCATATCTAAAAAATATGGTGGGGGGGGACTTCCCAATCCAACTCCATAATCTTGTGTTGCATCAAACGTGCCACATGTGGACGTGCATTGTCGTGGAGAAGAAGAACACCTTTCCGATTGACGAGTGAAGGGCGTTTCTGATGAAGGGCTTGATTTAAACGTTCCAGTTTCTGACTATAGATCTCTGCATTGACAATTCTCTGTGGATTGAGGAGTTCGAAATGAATTACTCCTTTGATGTCCCACTAAATCCAAAGCATCACTTTCTGCGGATGGAGTCCAAGTTTGTTTTTGGCATTTAATATTCGCATAGATAATCCATTTTACATCACCGGTGACAATTCTGTTCAAAAATGGTCCACGCACATTACGCGCCAGAAGAGACGAAGCAACGTTCATACATTGGAAACGATGATCATCGGCGAGTTCATGAGGCACCCAAACACCTTCTTTATGGA